AAAAAAAAAAAAAAAAGAAGCCTTATAGTCTTTGATAAGGATACAAGTGAGGACATGGAGGAAAGTGAGGTAATGTTATCAGAAAGTGGAAGAAGAGGAATCCTGGTTAAATAGAGGCAGAAAGTTTAGCAACACCATTCCCTACAGTTATGTGGACTGTGAAAAAATCAATGGGGCAATGTAACTAAGAAGATTTCCAACCAGTGTTCAAAATGCCACCTGGGTTTTTCTTGGGCTTATGTGAAAAAAGAGATAAGCTAAAAGAAAGGCTATTAAACAAAAAGGAGCCAGGATGTTGAGGATTTTAAAAACTCTCATCTTCTTCAGATGTGAAAGTTATTAAGAAATAACTTCTGAGCAAATACCAAATCCAAGGCACTGCCAGGAAAACATGGTCCAAAGATAAAAATCAAGGATATGACTGTAAAATCTTAAGACTCAGAAAGATCAAAGGCACTAATCGTTCAAACAAAGGGTTGCTATAAAGAATTATAAAGAATGTGCCTCACAAATCCAATTAATCACACAATAGAGCTTAATTAAGAGCACTGTTATCAGCAGAAACTCCATATATTTCAGAGATGTGTAGGTGGTGTGGCTTTTGACTAATAAAATGGAAGCCAGTAAAGTGCACCAAAGACCCGCAAAATTTTTAGAAGAAATACATATGTAGAAGCATTGCCAGCTAGAATTGAAAGGGACAGACATAGGATAAAATTAAGTCTTTGAACACTTAAAATTCTATTAGCAGTAAGTAGACTGAGAAAACTAACCAGCTGTAAAGCACATGCTTTCTAGAGATCACTCAGAGGGATGGAACCAAGAGCCTACAGGGCAGGGCAGACAGCCATGGAGAATTATCCCAGGCCTTCAGACCTAATCAAGAACATCCAACATTTGCCACTTGACTTCAGAATTGCCATGGACCAATGACTTCTTTGTGTCTCCTATTTCCGCCCTTTTGAAAACGAAGGTCTACAGTAGTTATCCTATGCCCATCCCACCACTGTATGTTAGGTACACGTAAGGCAGATAACTGGTCTCTCAAGCCTCTTGGGCCAAGAGTGACTTGTGCTAAAGAAGCGATACTGAAGGAACTACACTCAAGGAGCCACAGCCACATCCACATCTGGTCCTGATTGAGATCATGAGATTCTAGATTTTGAGTTGCTGCTATAATGGGATGGCACTTCTGAGGGCCTTGGGAGGCGGTGAGTATATTTTGCACACGAGAGGAACCTGAATCAGTGGAGGTTAGAGGGGGAATGGCGGCAGTCAGCCTCCAAGATGGCCTCCAATAATACGGGCCTCCTGGTATTCACACCCTTGTATAACTCCCTTCCATATTGTGCTAGGATTGGTCTATGACCAAGAGAATATGAGAAGGGCTAGTATATCGCTTCTGAGCTGTTACTGAAAACAGGCGTCTATCTTGAGCACTCTTTCTTATGTAACTGCTCTCTCAGACCTCTCCATCTGGGGCAAACAAGCTAACATATTCTAAGTAGTCCTATAGAGAAAATAAGGTGGGAAGAACTAAAGCCTCTGGCCAAAAATCACCAAGGAACTGAGGCTTGCCAACAACCACTTGTATGAACCTGAAAGCAGTTTCTGCAGACCCAGTTAGGCCTTGAGATGACTACGGATTCTGGCAAACACTTCAACCTCAATCTAGTAACAGATCCAGAGCAAAAAACCACCCAGCTAAGTCAATCCTCCATTCCTGACCCTCAGAAACTATATAACAAATGATAGTAGCTTTAAGATGATAAATTTGGGGATAATGTAGTATGCAGTAATAAATAACTAAGTGGTACAGAGCTATTAAAATATGCTGAATCCTAATTATGTTTTATTCCTTTCAGCTGTATTTCATGGGTTTAGATACAAAGAAAAATCAACAATAAAATCGTGATTAGTAATTTCCTCCAACAAAATGACACATCAAGTAACCATGCCTTAAGGGTGTGTGTGATATGCACAGAAGGCTCTGACATCACTGCCAGTCATTACACAGCCAGAACAGGACTATAATTGAGGAGCTGTGATAATAAATCAGTTAACAAGAAACGGAGCTGCAAGAGGAAACCACCTGCACATAAAGTCCATTGAAAAGGTAGACTAAGGAGACAAAACTGCTCCAAAGGAGTCAGACAAGCAAAATAACCAAAATGGCAAAAGGCTTGAAAGAGATGTACACTTGCTAAGCAAAGAGGTGGTGAAAAGGAAGGTGAGGACTGGTAGAAACAATGGAATTTCACTTAGAAAGCAACTTTTGGAGGGACTAAACAGAGAATGTGGATTTAAAAAGTGTGATTGAGACCTTATCTGAAAACAAGAGAAAAAAAGAGGAAGACTAAAAAAAAAAAAAAAGGGTAAGAAAGAAGATGTATCCATATTACTTGGAAACCACGTTTTGCTGAACATGCTTTTCCAGTTCTGACCTCAACCCAGTTAAGTTTCAAGAAAGAACACAGTACATGTAAACTAATGAGAAGTATGGTTTCTGATCTCCGTAAAGTACATCTCAATAAATAATGTCAATCTTTCTGATTTTTTTTTTTTTTTTGAAACAGGGTCCACTTCATGGCCCAGGCTGGAGTGCAGTGGCTTGATCACTGCTCACTACAGCCTTGACCTCCTGGGTGACCTCCTAGCTTCAAGTGATTCTCTGACCACAGCCTCCTGAGTAGCTGGGATTACAGGTAAACACCACCACACCCAGCTATTTTTGTGGAGACAGGGTTTTGCCGTGTTGCCCAGTCTGGTCTCCAACTCGCGGGCTCAAGCAATCTGCCCACTTCGTCCTCCCAAAGTGCTGGGATTACAAGCATGAGCCATGAGCCATGTACCTGGCCCTTTAAAGACTGAGTAGCTAACAAACACATATTTGTGAAAAACTCAATCTTAACTGATCACTAACAATATTAAAAAGAAAAAGGGAAGAGGACAGGATATGTTAAAACATCAAATGATAGTAAATATGTTATAAATCTTACCATTTTTAAGAACTTGGATTATTTCTTACTTTCCTAAAAATGGAGACTGGGATGGGAACTAATTATAGATGTTTTGAACAAATATTTACCACCTACCATCCTATGCAATTCAGGTATAGAGATTGAGCATTCTTAATCCAAAAATCTGAAATCCAACGTGCTCCAAAACCCAAAACCTTTAAGTGCAGATAGGATGCCACAAGTGGAAAATTCCACACCTGACTCCATGTGACTTGTCAAAACACAGTCAAAACTTTGTTTCATACAAAAAAAAAAATTATTTAAAGTATTCCATAAAATTAACTTCAGGCTATGTATATGATATTTTGGGTCCCACCCCCAAAATATCTTATTATAATTATGCAAATATCCCAAAATCCAAAATCCAAGACGCTTCTGGTCTCAAGCATTTTGGATAAGGGATTATCAACCTGTACCACATCCCATTAGTGAGAATATGGTTTAGAAGGGCAGTTAAGAAATATAAATATTAAATAAAGCAATTAGGGAAATAGAGCCAAGTACAAAGGGTAAGAGTAATGCAATACCCTTGTATTTCCTTTACTTTCAGGGATTTATGGCAAAATTTGCAGAGAATGTCACATTAAGAATAGGTACTACCTAAAAGTACACACTTAGGAAAGATTTTTAAACAGCTTTAGGCCAGGCACAGTGGTTCACACCTGTAATCCTAGCACTTTGGGACGCCGAGGCAGGTGGATCACCTGAGGTCAGGAGATCGAGACCAGTCTGGCCAACATGGTGAAACCTTGTCTCTACTAAAAATACAAAAAAATAGCCAGGAACGGTGGCAAGTGGCTGTAATCCCAGCTACTTGGGAGGCTGAGGCAAGAGAATCGCTTGAACCCGGGAGGTGGAGGTTGCAGTGAGTGGAGATCATGCCACTGCATTCCAGCCTGGGCAACAAGAGTGAAACTCTGTCTCAAAGATAAAATAAGCAAACAAAAAAGCCTTTCTTTTCACGGTAACAGGAATATATTCTAGGAAGTGGTGGCTGTCATTAAACCGATCAGGCCTTTGTTATCACTCTGAACCCTAAAAACAAAAAAACAGTCTTTATAAAAAGCTAAAAATTATGGGTTGAGGCAGCTGCTACAGCTGTGTGGTAACTGATAACTGCACTTATTATCTCCCTCCTTTTTTCCAATGGGTGTGTGTTTTAGAACTGAGTAAGAGATGAAATGTAGAATGAAGTCTACGCCCATCGAATACTCCTCATTCAGGTCTCAAATCAAATGTTACCACCCTATCTAAGGTTGTTCTTGGCACAACACCTTTTCTTTCCTTGATGGCATTTAACATTATCCGAAATCATTTTATTAATGTGCTGGTTAATTGTCTGCCTCCATCAGACAGAACGTGGACCTGATGTGCCATGTGCACAGCTCTAGTCCTAAGCTCTTAGAACAGTGCCTGACACATAACAGGAGCTCAGGAAACATTAATACAACGAAGACAGATGGAATGTCATTCTCCACTCTGCTGCACAAACCTCTCCTCCTACCCCTGAGTTCCCACAGCGCTCTTACTGCACTGAACTGGCTACGCTTGCGATGCAGCCCCGGGTTTCCTTCCTCTTCTATTCCCTGGCTTGGATGTCGGTGCCAGGTACGCTGTAGGCACTCGATGGCAGATCACTGAATGAATGACACGGCGAGCCAGGCACACGCACGTGATGCAATGGCACCGCTGCAATGCCGGTTCCGAGGCTACCACAGCCCAGCCGGACAGCCACCATCATCATCCCTCCCGTGTAAAGCCCGGCCGCCCGGGGCCAAAGCCTTCAGGAAGGCATGAATGTCGCCACAATGCCCTTTCGGAGGGAGGCCCAGCCTCCGAGAAGAGGAGTAGGGCCCAATGTACAGGGACGGCACTCACTGTAGGTGCGGCCCAGGGCTTGGAAGAGCAGATCACGCTTCACGCTGACAGTCGGCATGGCGAGTCAAACTCACTGCGCCTGCGCAGCGAGCTGGCCCGGGCTTCCCCAGTGAAGGGTGTAGGACCCGGCTTTCTTATGGGAGCTGTCTTGAATATCGCCATTCTGCCGCCAACAGTTCCTGTTCTCTTTTTAATCTAAAAAACACTCATCTAGCCATTATCTAGTTGAATAAATTTATTTATGAGGGACTAATAGCTTAAAAGCTTGTAGGAGAGATATAATCGGATAGAACTGGCTAGGATTCGTCAGGCATTATAATGGACTGACCCCGAAGTCCCAGATGCTTCCAGCACGCTAAGGGCAAGAGACGCCCAACAGATGGGCGGGGCGTGAGAGGGGCGTGTCCAGTAGACGACTGGGGCGGTCACCTGGGAAATCTTGCCTGGAGGCGGTGGAAATGCCAGTGAAGGAATTTAAGGTTCCTGCGGAGAAAGGTTTGCAGATCCTGGCGGCGGGACAGGGGCTGTTAACAGACCTCAGCTTTTGCTTCATTCTTTAATCTCTCCTATTCTCGTGTAAGTGATATACCTGTGCTTTGTTTGAACCTTGCCGCAGCTCTATAATGGAGGTGTTGTTAGAGATTACAGGAATGAGCCACCATGCCCAGCTGTATATTTGAGGTTTTAACATTAGGAATACTTGGTATATTACCTTTTCTTTTTGTAAATATATACTTTAATATTAAAAAAATGAGCAAAGAAAGTGAGCACCAATGAAATACAACAAACAAAAAGAGAAGGGAATATAAATTAAAACAACAATGAAAGTTATGGGTATTTTCTCCAGGAGACTGGCAGGCATTAAAGAAACCAATTGTACCAACTCTGTATTAGCAAAAATTTAGGAAGTAGGCACTTTAACTCCTGTTGAGAATGTAAGTAGCAGTTTGACAATACGAATCAACATTTTAAACATTTTTTCTCTTTATCCTGTAATTCTACTTTTATGATTATTCTAAGGAAACAATGAAACAAGTCTTCCTCTCTTTGTAATGTAGAAAATTTCGAAACAACCTAAACATCCAACAATATGAGCTTGATTAAATAGCATATGATACCTTTATGCAATAAAATACTATGCAAGCATTAAAAATGATATTAGCTATCTACATTTCTTTTGTTTTTTGAGGCGGAGTTTCACTCTTGTTACCCAGGCTGGAGTGCAATGGCGCGATCTCGGCTCACCGCAACCT